CTGATTAGGTTCTTATTAGGTCCTTATTCATTTTATAAGATATTTAGATTTTCAATCGTGTATATTGCACTGTAGCTTTATGGAAAACACATTTCTAGAGAAAACCCCAACAATTGTAAATCAAAGAAAACATATACGTATACACAATCAAAATTCAGAATTTAGACCATCAAAATTGGAGTGATATTTTTGTATAAGAACCTAATTTTCTTTGCTAAGCTGAACAGGTTCTTATATTTTTGAGTATTTAAATTCCAAATTTCAGCCTGTAGGTTCTTAAATCACTAGGTTCTTATATGCAGGTTTTAACTGTACACGCACTATTTAATTATGACTAAATAGGGAGCAAACAAAATAGGATTAACAAATGCACTTGTACGTACTTTATCCATCGAGCGTTGTCTAACAACACTCACCGGAGCTGAATAAAGACAAGTCATCTATAATGGACAAAAGTCACCCCTTTATTAAGTCTCAGATCACAGGCTTGTATTAAAAAACAATAAATAACTACACTTATTACTATCGATGAGGCTTAGTTGCATTCGTTTCCATGTTTTGTTATACTCTGGCCAATAACACGACGAGTTTTTCATGCATACATTTTAGGTATTCTCCTTCTACACATTTGCCACTTGTCTCCTCTACTCATTTTATTGGTAAGTCTTGTCCAACATTCCTTAGACTGAAGTGTTCTTTACAAAACTTGTCAATCGTCAATGTTTGACTTTTAGACTGCCGCAGCCGCCTACGTATGTCTTTGGAATGTCTCACGTAGATATATCGAACATCTACAGATCAGTTGAAACCTATGGCATAAATCATGGCCTTCAGCGCGACGTGCTTTATCAAGATTGATTGTTTTGTTTGTTTGTTTTAGTTTTGGCCATTTATAAATATATACAAAATATCAATGTAAAAGGCAAAGAAGCCCAAGGATGCCAATATGACTTATGTAGAGGTCTACCTTAAAAAGGATACCTAGGACTTGACAAAAGAGTAAAAATGCTGTCATTGGCGCACAAAATAATTTCGAGTAAGAAATAGTTTAGATTAAAAAGTAATTTACCCTGAAAAAAGATCATTAATGTATGATCTCCATGCATTACTGAGTAGACCTTCAAAAATACTGGAGGCCATCTGAGGAATAAACACGTGCGTATTAGAAAGATCTAAAAACTGCAATGTAGTTTGTACCTTATCGTTTGTTTACATTAAAACATTCATATTGTCACATGGAAAGTTAAGTCGACTGTTTCTGGCCAAAAAACAAGTCGTGTAGGGCATTCAACGTTGGTATGTTAAGCTAGCAGCCAAAATTTAATACACGTAGTTTCGCTTTGTTTTGGAAAAGGCAATGGCAAATAAGAGTTCACTTGTTGCCTTAAAACATGCTTTGTATTATATTTGAATAAATTGACCTTTCTACCAAGCCTCATGCTAGTCCCTGACAAACCCCTATTAGGTTAGGGTTAGGGTTAGGTCACCTCCCATTTTCCCGATGGTGGCCCCCTAATAAAGGTTAGCCCATTACAAAAAAGTAACTGTTTTTCACTTAATTTCCACGTGACAGTTGAATTTCTACGAGTCTCATGTAGGCTAGTGGCCACCGTTAGTGTCGAGCCCGGCTGATGTCACATATACACGTAAATAGACAATCCACTGAACTTCCTCTTTCTAACGTCCATCGAGGTTTCTGAGTTAATCAAGGGAATGAGCCCATTTTCAAGACATCAAAACAAAAGTGAAATAATCTGTGTGCGATGGACGTGTTAGGCCTGCTTCACTACACAGAATTTTTCTGCTAAATCTCGACGATTTACAAAAGGATGACACAAGGCGTCATGTAAGACTAGGAAAGTTGCAAGTGGGCCTCTAGCTCGTTTCCATTTTAACAACATTTGGTAAGCCTTTTCACTGTAGTCCTCATTCTCCTTATCAATTGCAAGTAGTGATGATTCATCACTTTCCAACAACCGTCGCCCAAGCTTCTTCCATACATCGATGATTTCGTATGCCAATTCTTCCAGGTCATTATTCGTTGGTGAGTCTTCTTTTACTGCAACAGAAAGAACATAACATACCCGAATAAAAAAGTCTACCTTCAAAAAATTGAGTCGATTTGATTTCCACAGAGTTTCAGGGATTGTTATTCCGCCAAACGAGAAACAGATGTCCCTGAAATAACGACACTTTTGCCTGCATCTGATTCGCTGAGCGGTTCAAGACTAATATTTAAACAAAGATTTCTTACGTGAAGTAATTACAGCCTCATATTTTCAACGAGATGGGAATAGAGAAACCTCGAATCAGAAAACACGAAACTGGTACGCTTTGTAAACAACTCATGATCAGGCGGCGCTGTACTATTCTGCCAAGTTATACTGCTTTTATGTGAACGATGCAACAATTTCAGGACTGCAGCCCTCTTCTTTTATACAGCAACATGAGGATAAGGGGATGATATGTTAAATAAATTGTAGATAAAAGTTCAAATGCGAAACAATTGAGTTTGTGTGTGTATGTGTACATTTCCGGCCAATAACGGTACCGTCGAATCGTTGCATTTTCATATAACTTTCAAATGGCTATCTTTAAAACAAGGAACGGGGAATCGGAAAGCAGGGAACGGGGAACGGGGAATCTTTAAAATGAGGAATCTTTAAAATGCGTAATGTTTAAAATAGGGAATCTTTAAAATGGGGAATCTTTAAAATGGGGAATCATTAAAATGGGGAATCTTTAAAATGGGGAATCTTTAAAATGGGGAATCTTCACTGCAAAGTGAGCGAGAATCTTCCAGTTCCGCACCGGAAGCCATTTATTCTGTCACATTTATAAACTCAACAGGTACAGAGACAGCTGTGAAATTTACTCACATTTCGATTCTCACTCTCTCAGATCCGCTACACCTAACGAAGAATCGAGCCGCCTCGATTCGGACTGTGACGTTTTTAAATTGAGTTTCGTAGCGATAGATATTTGGCCTAGCCTTTTCATGTGCTAATGGGAAGACTTACGACTTTACAACAAATATATGGCAAGTAAAGCACATTTTTGTTTATTTAAGCGATAAATCAACAGTCCCGCTGGTGCGGATCTGGTTTTCACATGACGTCACTAAAATTCAAACTACAAAACTATTGATCCTCCTGAGATTTTACTTTCATGATGTATAAGAGAAGCTGAAAACTAATATTTATACAAATTTTCGCTCCGAACAGGTTCTTGGTTTTGTGACAGACTACGCTTGAATTTCTCAACTTTTGCGTGACGCGGCATTTACATGGCGGCCGAGAGAGCTGTCATGGAGGTTCAAAAAATGACTTATTTCGGAGAATTTGGCTATCTAAACAGTTCTTGTATTAGAAAAAGTATTATTTTAATGTTTTTGAGTTCTTCGAGAGATAAATTCACGCTTTTGTAGCAAAACTCAGTGACAGATGTTTCTGTTGGTTTCCGGCCGCCATGTTGGTGCACATCCGGATGGGCATCAGCATGGCATCTCCACAAAAATCTATATAAATTTGGGTAAAAAATGTCTCCGCATACCTTGCAAAAGAAAAATTGCCGTGACCTGAATCTTAGCGAGAGTCTTTGCATATTCACCTTCTTTCTTTTCCCAGATTCTGGACTTTTTCTATTGAACGGTTTTTTTTATTATTTTGATCTATTTTGAATGCCCGAACGATGTGGCGGCAGTGTTCTGTGACGTATTAGCTTACTTTTTAACTTAAGAGTTGAGGAGAATTTACTATTCCTTGACAAATTATATCCTATCTTACTTACAAACTCTCATCTGTCGGCTGTTAGAGATTTTGGCGGGAATTTCGCGTATAATCCGTCACTGTGTGCTTCATGATACCTCTTTCTACGCCACGCGGTCTTGCGAAGACAATTTTAAAGTGCCCATTGCAGTCACTTAAATGAAAAAAAAAATCGGTCGCTTTGAAGGTCTTCCACAGTTTAAGTGGAATGATCTCCGCAAACAAGATGTAATTTTTATCACAAAATACACCAGGAACAAGGACGGAGATTCGGCCAGGAAAGTCGAAACAGTGGTTGTCAAGAAATTGCTCGAGTCTTCACCTGCTTTTAAATATTCCCCATTTTAAAGATTCTCCCTTTTAAAGATACCCCTTTTTAAAGATTCTCGCTTTTAAAGATTCTCCATTTTAAAGACTCCCGCTTTTGAAGATTCCCCATCTTAAAGATTCCCGCTTTTGAAGATTCCCCATTTTAAAGATTCCCGCTTTTAAAGATTCTTCATTTTAAAGATTCGCACTTTTAAAAATTCCCCATTTTAATAACGATTCCCGCGTTTAAAGATTTCCCATTTAAAGATTCCCCATTTTAAAGACTCCCGTTGTTGAAGATTCCCCATTTTAAAGATTTCCGCTATTAAAAATTCTCCATTTTAAAGATTCCGCTTTTAAAGATTCCCGCTTTTGAAAATTCCCCATTTTGATAACGATTCCTCTTTTAAATATTCCCCATTTTAAAGATTCCCACTTTTGAAGATTCCCCATTTTAAAGATTGCCCGTTCCCCATTCTCCATTCCCCATTCCCCTATTCCCCTTCCCCGTTTTAAAGTTAGCCACTTCCAAATTTGATTTAATCGCGCTTAATCACTTCCCCAAGAAATCCTTTGGAGAGAGAAAAGAACTACCCATCGCCTTCCAAAAGCCAGATTTTGAGACAATTATGTTTTGTAGCACATAGTTAAATAACGCGTCTCTTTTGAACTATTTTTAGTGTCGTTAAAAGTAGGTCGGATAAATTTAATTAGATTGTGGAAATATATCGACAAGAATTGCTCAAATTGCTCTCAATGTTTTGATATTTCAGTGTTTATCGGAGTACTCTGTAAAACGGGGATGCGGATGGCGGACGGCGGGTAATGAAAAAAATAATACTAAGAAAATAATGTTAGGAAAGTTTCGAAAATTGCAAAAATGTTCACATTCTTGAGCTTATATACTAGGTATCACTAAAGATATTGACCTGAAGATAGCGTTTTGATAACTTTCAGAAATCTTCGGAAATTCTAGAAATACGACTCTAATATATAATTCCTGTAACCTTCCTGTATCTTTTTTTATTTCGTGGTTTTTGACTTAAGGACGTTCGCACTAATTGTTTCTGCGCATCCTTACTGCGCACGCAAATTCACACGCCATGTCATGCATGAGAGCGCGTGCTAAGTAATAAAATGAACAATGATAGGGCAGATGGCCATTGCTGTAGCTTTGCCTAGATTTAGCGATCTTGGACGTTCGATGACCCCTACTTTTCTTTCCAGAAAAAGATTTTATTCACAATTATCTCCACATTGTCCAAAAATGAACAAAACACCAATGTGGGAAGTTAAAAAAATTCAAGATTTCTGTCCACGGGACATCGAATCCTGCCATCTCGCGGCTGCGTGAAACTATGGTCACTAAATGAGGACTTAAGCTTGTTCTTTAAGGAACCTCACCAGTTGACTAAATTCACTTAATAGGTCCACTTAAACAATATTTGGCAGAGAACATTTCCTTCAAAGATCTGATTGCAATATTTTTGGGCTTACAGATAGTGTGGCCTTATTCGTTAACGAAGCCCGATTTTTTTCAGATTTAGGGTGTTCTTCCGTGCATGTTCTCTCCAAAACAAAGTCAATGACCCCGCATTTTTTGTGCATCTCTGACGTAACTAACTCATCGTCGTACAGTGATAAAAGTCCCAGAAAAAATCAATGTTGGAAAATTTTCGCGCGAACGTCCTTAAGAGGAAAGGGAAGATACTGGTTACTGGACTGGTATCTCCAGAACAAATTTAAACTCGAACAAACAATATCCCTGCCATCTTATAACGTCCTATCAGTTTATTTTGTGACCAGGCAAATAACTGCATCCTAACAAAAGAGGGACCTAGCCCTCTCAAAAACGAATTTGAAAACAGAGAAAATAAAAACAATGAAGACCACAACATGGAGCTGGAGGAACAATCAGAGTAAGAACTTCAAAATTCAGAGCTGGAAGACAACGCTTTCCCTGAACTGCAAACCACACAATATCATATACAACACGCAAAACAGTCGACAGACTTGCGCGTGAACATCTATATTTGCAGTGCCAGAAGGAGCAAACTGGAGATATAAACCTAAACATCAAGCTCCAGAGACGAAAAGCCTGATGAATTGATGCAAGAAACATAAGAACGTCTCTCTAAGACAATCTTATAGTTTCCAAAAGGAAAGCGACAGCTATCTCTGGCGAAGCCGGACAAAGATAAATACATGGTAAATATGGCAACCATGATAAGAAGCAGCACAGTACTTGCGTCAGGCGAATCAAACAGCCGGGCTCGGCGGGTCAACACGAAATGCAAGTAACCAACATGTTCACGGAATATTTCAAACTTTGTCCCTCCTGAGCTAATATCTAGAGAGCTTAAAACACATCTTGCAAAATTAATGAGCCTAAAAATACCTAGAACATAGCAAATTACGGAGTTGTCAAACTCTACAAATTACACGCAAACAACAGCGGAAACCATGCAAACTTTGACTTTTAGAATGCCACGCAACGCTCCCTCTACTCCGGTAAAATGTCTCCTAATAACACAGCATAAAGTGCCCTTCAGAAACAAGTGCGAGTGAAAAAATAGGTCGCGATACCGAGAAGCGTGAGAGTAGTCCTCCCTTGAAGTCATCCTCATTTAACTCTAGCATCTAATCCAAAATCAACCATTGCTTAGCGAAATATTCAAAGATCCCCCTATCGTACCATATAAAAGGGGCCTTAGGGATATACTCGTGCGAACAAAGCCTTAAAAGCGGCTATTACACGTGGATAGGAGTTGTGAAGGCCTGTCACCCTATTGTTATCACCCATGATCTTATCGTAAACGAATTTTGCGCACCCCAAAAACAGATCTTCTGTTATCAGGAGTTAGATATGAACTTCGAGCTAGCGACCTTTGACAGGGAGAAGTGACAACACTAATACATTTGATTGGTTTACAAATTTTAAAAAAGACGAACTATTGATTGGACGTTATACGTTCTACATGTTCTATGGTAACCGATCAATAGCGCGAGTTTCTGAGTAAAATGTTGTTAGTTAATGAAAGTTATCAAAACGCTGTCTTCAGGTCAATATCTTCAGTGATAAACTCGTATATAAGCTCAAGAATATGAACATTTTTGCAATTTTCGAAACTTTCCCAACATACAACGAGTTCCTCAATATATTTCGACAAATAGTGATGTGGTTTTTCATTTTACTATTTTTATTTTTATTTTTTTTTCTGATTGTCCGCCGTCCGTCATCCACCGTCCGCATCCTCATTTTACTGAGTCCCGTTTATCGGTCTGGGTAGTGTCATTTTGTGACGCGAAGCATCGAGATTCGTCTTAAATTTTGAGCGCCAAAAGCGGCATTTTGACGGAATTTGGTTATTTACGATTTTCTCGTAAACAAATCGATATTCAGCCAAACGAAGTATGTTGCGAATCGTTTCACACTAACGCCTACCTAACCTGAAAATAGAAGCCAAATTGATTTTTTGGCTGTTGCCGTCATGTTTCACCATTGGCAGCATTCGCTCTTAAAAAGGAAAAAAATAAACAAAAACAAAACGAGATGTTGTTTAGGAATTTTCTTGGTGTTTCCACAACATTGCAAAATCTTTTGGATTTACTTCTAGGAAGATCAACGGAGACTCTGCTTGCAGGGTAGAGTTACAAATACAACAGTTTTTAATAGTGAAGCGCTGAAATGAATCTGTTGCGGCCGCTCTGAGTGTGAAAGTATGTTGCCCCTTAATTAGGATTCTTATTGTTAGAAATATTACCTGCTAGGCGCTCAGCCGTGAGTTTAGGACGTTTTGAACTGGTACATGGAGCTTCTTTCCTTCGCTTTAGAGAAGTCTCTAGAAAAGATAAGGCAGAATTGACGTACAAATAATTTAGACAGAAAAGTGAATGAGCGATAAGCAGGTTTCGAAAGGCTAACAGCAACTAAAATATTGAACGCACTTGAATTAAAGTAAATTCAGTACTACTCCAACTTGGCTCTATGACTTATTATTAAAACTCTAATTTAGATTACTCATATCAACAAAAACGAATGGTTATTTAATCAAAGGTGATCGTTTATCCTGGATGATCTTTATCTTGAATGTTGATTACAGGCTACGATAAAGATAACTGAAAGCTTAAGGTGAATCAGTTTGTAGATGTGCATCAACTTATCGTAATGCCACTCCAACTGTCAACACTTAATTTCCCTGCCAGATTCCATTTGGACGGGGAAGGCTGGAACTGTTCAAGTCAGATTCGCAATGTAATATAACTTGTGAGTACAGGTAATCGTATGAATCCGTGTACAATTACGGATTTGCATAACGAGTGATATTTGAAAATTCTCTCAAAATTGCACGAGCCTTTAGATGAGTGCCATTTTAAAGAATTTTCAAATATCATGAGTGGTATAAATCCTTAATTGCTCAAGCTTTCATAGATTATTCATTTATTATACGACTGAGAAAATTGCGAACGCGCGCGCGTTAATTTGCAGTGCAGTGCAAATTAAGAATTAACGATAAATTGGGCTGCTCTCAGCCAATCACAGTGATGTAATTCTCACAGTCATATTATCACCTCGGGTCCTGGCCTTTCTGTGGTAGTTTCCTGTTTTAGGACAACTTCAAATGTCTGACAGAGGTAATCCCTAGGGAATTCCTAATTTACGTTCCTGAACTCCAGAAATGAATAGTTCTGACTATTCTCATTGGGGACATAAGAAATCCTTTTCTCCTTATTTACAAGAATTTAAGGCTATTTCAGTTTGCTTCTGTATCTCATGGAAATGTGTGCTATTCAAAGTATGCACTGTGTTGTTCAAGGCTGGTTTCCATATGATCGCTATGATCAATGCGATCACCCCGAGACGATCGCTGCAGAAAACGTTGAGCGGTCCTTACGACTTCCATTATAACACTATAACACTACGATCGTCGTGACAGAACTTTAGTCTATCTCAGCGATTGTTTGTGGCAACGATCGCTATGATCGCTGGAGAACTGTTTTCATATGATCGAAACAGTCGCTGAGCTTTTTTTTTATATAGGTATGTGCAGCCCCTAAGGGTATGGTTTTTCAGCCGTTTTGGTCATAAATAGGGTATCGATTTTTAGCTGATTTTAGCCGTTTTGGTCATAAATAGGGTATGGTTTGTGCACTCTAGCCTTGATAAAGCCTTGATTCATTTAACAAAAAGCCATTTTTTCGTCATTATCGAAAAGAAAATCAACAAAAGCCCTTCACCAATCCACCATAGGAAAAAAGATGGCGGCTGTACATTTTACCACAATACCTTGCGAACCTAACGCAGCCTATAAAGCACAAAAAAAAAGCCAAATTTTTACAATATTTGTCCTCGTACTAAGGACATTGTGAATGCTAGGTTTGAAGATTTTATAGCTCTTCTGTACGTTTTTATGAACGTTGTTAAGGTTTTCGTGCGCTAAGAACTGTGGGTAAATGCACCAGTCGCCATCTTTTTTCCTACGGAGGATTATGTTTACGGTAATTTAACATTGGTCTGAACTAGGGAACTAATTGTAAAAAAAGTCTGAAACAGGGTTTTCAATTAAGGGTCAGGTCATAAAAAGGGTTTCGAATTTATGGTCAGGTCATGAGCGGGGTAGGGAATATCGCTGATTTTGGTCATAAATAGGGTAAGGGTTTTGGGAAGCGGGCCGCACACCCCTNCCCCCCCCCCCCCCCACCTCCGCCCTCCACCCCACGGGCGGAAGCAGCGACAGTAGCGATAATATGGAAATCAGTCATTAGAAATGCAAATAACAGATGAGAAACATTTCCAATAAAAATTTTAAAAACTAATCACTTGGTGAGGACCATGTCCAATAAAATGAACTTCGCTACGACTGCAAAAGCCTTACACATTGGTCAGTGGGATCACAAAAAGTTCAAACAGTAAGCGAAGGAGTGAAGGAGCGAGGGAGCGATGGGGTGAATGTTCCATCGATACCTACAACTTGGAAGGTTAAAAAGACTATCGCCATTCCAGTAGTCAGGGATAAGTTACGACATAAGAACGTCTTCTGCTTTCAAAATTACCTTTGCTGCTAGATTGACGACAACTGCCAGCCTTCTGAGAATAGGCTGACTAAGACGACTCACATGGAAAAAAGCATGCATGATTGACAGATACCAAATATGAGACTCATATGTGGTACGGAAGTGTGGTGGCAACCGCAGGCTCAATTCGGTCTTGCTTATCAACCAAAAAATATCAAGATTCCATACTTCATTCCCACAAGGAGAGAATGATAGAGCCTTAAAACTATCAAACTAGGTTACCTTGCACATTGCCCAAATTTCCTCCATTATGCTTATCAACTGTCAGCTGTGGAGGAATAAAAACAGGGAAAGAAGATTGAATTCCTTATAAAATTCACTGAGCCAATGCATACTGCATGGAAGGTCAGTCATGCATTTAGGACCTACCTTTAAAATAAAACCGTTTTATATGCAATGACAACATACCATAAACTACTTACCTACAAAGCAATCTAAGCCATTAATGTATACTGGATGCATTATACAGAAAATGGAAGCATTGCATATAAATCCAATGTCAAAAAGCTGGAAGATCTGTTAAGTTTATAATTCTTTAATGAACATTATTTGTAGTTTGGACGTTTTACTGTTTTGCTGTACTTATAATCTTTGGCACGTTTCCATGAAAACATGAAGACGTTTAAAAAAGGAAAAACAACATTTTGTGATAAAATCCTATGAAGCCCTAAAATCAAATATGACTGACACGAATTAAGCTCATCCTGAACAAAAGCCATTTATTTTGATTTTCTCTCTTAAAAACAACAACACAAAACAAAACTGTTTATAAAGCACCCATTTAATAACAATTCTAGGATGTATAGTTAATCCTTAACTACGTGGGGTAAAAAATGCTTTGGGCTATGTACCTGATTTTGAGGAGGGGCAAACCATGATGCGAACTGCGTAATCTCGACTCTGTTGCTCTGTGCAGCTGCTGATTTCGTGCAACAGATGACCTCCTCGACATCACACAACTGAGACTCAGGCCAGAAGTGCAGGCATACCTCTCGCTTGCAACCTTGTGTACCATGTCTGCTACAGAACCTAACCGCACCTCCTGGACAACAAACCGGGCAGATGAAGCTGACTTCATATTTCATATTCTTTAGCCAACAGAACTCATTTCGAATGGACTCAAGAATCAGTCCCAGCTTTCTACGCACTGCATGAGCACAGGTTACCTCACACGTGTCATAGCTGACATCGGCAGAACAAGAGAGCTTTGATTGTAAACTGTCTTGACTCGTCCCTTGGTGAACAACAACTTCAATGGAAGATGAATGGCACAGAAGGATTACGGAGCAGTCTTCCTTTTGAGAGGTGTAAAATCTAGCAAAATTGTGGTACAGTTGAGGCTTCCCTTGTTGTTCTTGATCCCACTGAAAGAACTGCAGCACAAGTCGGGGAAACAAGCCAAGCGGAACTTGGCCAGATTCAAATTTAAGGAATAGTGGGGGAATATGAGCTGATGCAACCAAGCTCATTATGTCCTCGGGTGGATGTGACATCAACATGGACGGTACCAGATACTGCTTGCTACATGAAGCATCAGATGAAGG